GCGACCATTTCGGGATCTGTCCATATAATATTATTCAGTATAATATAATTTATAGTCCGTTTGGACAAAATACTCAGCGTACACACTCTTTTAAAATACCACGAAAATGCCCTAAAATCCTGTGCGTCGGTAAAATTGCATAGCCTTAATTCTCTATTAAGAATTTCAGTAGGAAGTCTGCAAGAAACTATTGCTGAATAGTCTTATAGCCTTATTCAAGCCAACATTTGACGAAACTTTACAAGATTCTGGTCGAAGTAGAGAATGGGAGTAGCACAAGTCAATTAATTTCGTTGATTCATGGCAAAATAATTGAGCTCTTCAATAGAGTTGAGAGAAATACTGTTTTAGCTTTAATTTCGTTTAAAAAAGGTGAAAGAAAAAAAGAGAATTGCTTCTCAGATGTGTTTGAAGAAGTCCTAGATACGCTGTCTTGACAAACCAATAAATTCGAATAGAATTCTGGTTTTTAGGAATCCCTTGTTCTATACTTATTGAGTTCACTTCCATTTCGAGTAAAAGTAGTTGGTGAAGAGATTCAAAGGTCGATCCAGCCAGAAGACGACGGCGGCTGCCGATTGGTTTTAGCAGGACATCCTTTTTGACACTGTTTCCGAGGCAATCTAATGGCTCATTAGCTTGCATATGGTTATAGAGATGATACGTTGCTATGATGATGTGTATCAAGGCAGACGAAAGCTTGGCAGGTTTTTACCGAAATCGAACGAGATTGCCTCGGAAACAGCGCCAATAAAAATGCTCCAGTAAAGCCAAATAGGCATCTGGTCAAAAGGACCTGACGTGTCCTTTTGGTGGGGTCGAGCTTCGAATCTCTTCACCAGACACTTTTACTCGAAATGGAAGTGAAGTGAACAATGAATTCGAGCCAAGCTTTCGTCCAATATATAACAGACATCGTGAGAGCCACGTTCATTTTTACAACAATATTCAGCCATTTTGCTTTGGCGTTTTGGTGAATTTTAGTGAATTTTCTGTTTTTAAATGATATTTGTAACACGGATTCCTCGGGGGGATAATACAGTGTACAACCGAATGCAACCATATTCATAACTTTGAGGCAATCCTGCCTTGGCTTCCTGTGAGGCTAATTTCATGATGCAAAGAAAAGTTGGGTTTCGAGGAATCTCTTGTTTCATAATTGTTGAGCTTACTTCCATTTCGAGTGAAAGTTGTTTGGTGAAGCATTCGAAGGTCGGTTCCACCAGAAGACGACGGTCGATTGGCTTTACTGGAAGATTCATGCTGACGCTGTTTCCGAGGCAATCTCCTTCGATTTCGGTGAAAGGGTGCTAAGTTTTCGTCCGTCACATGACGAACATCATCAGAGAAGGTATCATCGTCACAACAAAATTCAAGCTAACGAGTCACCGGAAAACCCCTAAAAAGTGGTATATATACTCTACATTTGGCCTCTTTATACTTGACTTGTTAGCTTACATTTTGTTGTAATTTCATGATCCTTTCAACTCGGCTTTTTAAACGGACTTAAAGGTAAAACAATATCAATCTAGCAATAAATCCGTCAAAATCTACTTTCTCTTCATATCGGCTAGTCTGCCGAGAAGATGAGTGATTTTTAGTTGAGCATTACTTTACATTCCTTCCCCTCTTCCGTACCGAGGGGTACGGAAGAGCCCCCTATGTTCTTTTCCTATCAAAAGTTTTAAGCGAATTTTCATGTTGATGTTGTTCCTATGGGTGCAAAATTGAGGCTTAGCAACGCCACTTGGTCTATCATCCCTCATGACACTGCGAATTATGACAACTTATGCAAAGTTGTGCAGCTTTTTGAGCTTATCTCCATTTCAAGTGAAATTGCTCGATGAATGATTCGAAGGTACGTCTCATCAGAAGACAGCAATTGATTCCTCTTAGACAACTGTCACTTGGCTTCACTAATACATTCTGTATGACGCTGTCTCTGAGGCAATCTTCTTCAGCTTCGGCGATATGATGAACATCATCAAAGCGGAGAGTCATGAAAACGCATAGACGAATCCCTTCATGTTAAGTAGATATATTATGCCTAAATCTATGCATTTTGATGGGTTATAAAGTGATTTAGTTAGTTCAAGTCATGTGCCAATCTAGAAGTTTGTGCTTGTGTCTGTTTCCTGTGCTAATGTGCCTTAATGTATGCTTAACTGTACGAAAGAGGACGTAATAGCACATATGAAACAAGATATTTCTCATAACCAATTTTACTTCGCATCTACTTTACAAGATGAACTCAACAATTGTGTAGTAGGGCCGCCTTAAGTACAAAGGCTCTTGGTGGGTTGGTTCATTCGTACTTGTGACGGATAAGAAGATCAGGCAAAGAGTTTCGAGACTATCAGCAAATCATTTATACGAGATTTATTCACCCGATTTCGTTCGAGGTGATGAAGGACTGGTAGTCGAATTTTCCCACAATCATATGAGTAGAGCTGACGTTTCTATTCAATTTCACATAATTGTTGTGCTTACCTCCATTTCGAGCGGAAGTAAGCACAACAATTATGAAAAAAGAGATTCCTCGAAACCCAACTTTTCTTTGCTTTCCCAAAAGTTGTTCTCATCCAGGCACCAGTGGACTGCAGTTTCGGCCTTGTCCGGGTCTTATCAACCCCTCTGACGGGAATCGAACCGCAACAGTGCAACACGTGCCCTTGAATCACATGACAGATGTGAATTTTCCCATATCACATTCTCTGGTGAGATTGTCGATAAGGCAAGTGTGTTTTTGCCATAACAATCGACTACATTACTTACTTCTCATACATAATCAGGGTTTCGACCCTTGTCTAACAATGCATACCTTATCGTTTCTTTCTATCTATTCGCTTGTAAAACTGTTTTACACTCCACCTGTCTCTAATCGGCACAGCCTCTTCCGTGTCGTCGGACGAGGATACCACCGCGGTGCTGTCGACTGCCTACTTCTGGCAGTACAACGCCCAGTGCAAGGGGCCCAAGGCGGTGCGTCTTATCGGCGAGCACTCGCTGACGACCGCAGCTTCCGGAGCCGCCTTTCTGCTCAGCTCAACGCAGGCCGGCCCCGGAGTCTACTTGCACTCGAACGACGGCCTGCCGGTCCACGCAGAGGCTGGCGGCCAGCGGTCGTGTCTCGTCGTGCCCTGTCCGATTGCGCCCCATTCGCTGCCCGGCTATCCGCTGGTCGTGTTCGAGGATCCGGTACAGAAACGCCACGATCTGGTCCACTGCTCCAAGTTGCGCCGAGGCGATGGCAACGACGTCACGCCGAACCTGTCTCGTCTGCGCGCCATGGGCGAGGAGCTGGATCGTCTGTCGGGCCAGATAGCCAGACAGGGCGAGATCATCCTGGCGGGAGCGGGGATCGCTTCAACCGTCGCCACGACGGCTGCTATGGCGGGCGGCGAGCCGTCGCCGTGCGCGTCGCCGTCCACCACCTGCTCGAGGTCAACCTCGGCGTTGACCTTGGCGTTGCCATCAGCCTCGGCGTTGGTTGTGCAGCAGACGCTTGCAGGGCTGAGCACTCAAGATCAGGCCTGGTGTGTGGAGGAGGCGAAGCGAGAAAAGAATAAACTAGCAAGCAAGTGAGCAACAACTCTCATCTCTTGAGCTTGTATGCCCGGCCGAGTCATCCAGTCGTTAGTGACTGTGAGTGTGTATTCTCCAAAAAGGAGGTAAAGGATGAAAGACATTCTGTCTCAGTCAACCACAGAAATGCGCTGGTGTTCTCCGAGTCATACCGACCATATTCTTTCTTGCAAAAAGGTGTGATGAAGAGATTCGAGGGTCCATTGCACCAGAAGGCTACGGCGGATAGGAACTGATCTTTTTGTGACGTGTTAAAGGCACACGTGCCAAGAAATGTTGGGTTTCGAGGAGTCTCTTGTTTCATAATTGTTGAGCTTATTTCCATTTCGAGTAAAAGTGTTGCGTGAAGAGATTAGAATGTCGGTTCCACTAGAAGACGACGGTCGATTAGCTTTACTGGAAGATTCATGCTGACGCTGTTTCCGAGGCGATCTCCTTCGATTCCTGTGAAAGAATGCTAGGCTTTCGTTCATCACATGACGAACATTATCAGAGCATCGAGGGTATCATCGTCACAA